AGTTACAGAATCGCAAGGCTGAGCTTATTAGAGTGACTGTTTTTGTTTTTTAATATTCAGGAGTGTCCTGATATATAGGGCCGCGCAGCAACAATTACAAATTTCAATTGTTATATTCACCTTTTTTTAACATTATCTCAATTGATTGCTTTATATATATGACATAGTAATAAAATATAATTCGTGTAGGTTAACAATAATTTGATTTATGTAACAGTTATATTACATGTACGAAACGAGTGATATGTTTTTTTCTGAGAAATTAAATATAGGGAGATTTTTAGCTAAACTTAGTTCTCTTGCAGATTAATTCTGTTTGATTTAAGCTATTTAATTGGCAGCTTTTAATGCGGATGTTATTAAAAAGTAGTTTTAGCTTTCCCAACAAATATGATGATATATATATGATACTTATTTTCTTATGGGACAGGAACCAAACGAGCTGGTCGTGTTGAATAGTGTTGTAAACCATTTAATATTATAAAACATTGTTCTATGCTTCCTCCTACCATTAACTACAATTCCCACATAAGTTCAAATCTTTGTCAGCACAAATCAACTTAAGTAATAAGCTGTAAAATAAAAATTCGGAACTCATTACTAAACAATATTTGCATTACGATCACATTGAGAACGATCAAAGTGATTCACTGCTCCAGTTACAAGTCCAGACGGATTTCCGCAATTTGTGTTGCAATACGTTTATAAATCATACAAACAGTATTTAATGTCTTATATTTTGTGCTTTATTTTTTAACATTCCCAAAATGTGTCAGTCCTGTACTTACGACTGTGGTTTTTGAAAAGGTTGTTCGATTGTGAATAAATTTAAAGAAAAAATCTAAGTAAGCTAACTTTATTTTAAAAAGAAAAGTGCATTAAACTTTTATTCTATTAATTTATTAAATATTAGTCAACCATAGTATGCAGACAGTAAAACGCGAAAAGTCAGGACATTTATAAAAATACGATTTAATTCATTCTTTTATTGCGTTTCAATTTTGTGAAAGGGTATTTTCATTAGTTATTGCATATAAATTTATGTATTTAACTGACATTTACTACTAATAAACATTGATTTGGCTTTACTTATGGCAACACTGGTAAATACGTAAGTTATGTTACAATTAATCTTTCTCTAGCTAATGCTCTGTGCATTCTGTAAGAATTGTTTCTACAACCTATCTCTTTGACGAGTTGGCCAAAGAAACCTTCAGCCTCATAATAAACTGGTCACACTAAGCCTAAATAAAAATGATAAGACGTTTGTGAGAGAAATGCGACGTTTGAAACGAATCAAGTTGTAAGAGTCTGACATTCACATTTACATAAAACATTTCTTCAAATACGGAATTTTCTCGACGTTTACTGCATTTTTATCGTGTTTTTATTTGCGCAATGAAACGTGACCCGTAAATGTAATGTTGATGAATTCATTGCTTAATTGCTAGGGGGATGAATATGATACAATGCTGTTAACACAGCCATTAATTTTAGGGACATTCCGATACTACTGGCCCGGCTTTAGTGACAATTTTTACAATAAAAGGATCCCGCCCTTAAACGTCGCACTAGTCGTCTTTCTTAAAGTGTAATTAAATGGGACTTTCTTATCTAGACTAGTGGTCTGACTGACTCATTTATAAGATTTTTATTTTCACAGTCCATACAATAAAATAGTATAAGGACTATATGTAAATGTTATACTATTTAAGAAGCGTAGTTGAAGTATCCTAGAACGAGTATAATTAACGTTTAAATAGTGAGAGATAAGGATGGTAACTTTTTGTTTTGATATTAAACGTTTTTGACGTTACCTACATATATACTTCGTTTTTAAAATATTCATATATTTTTGAATGATAAATGGCACACACATTTTGGTTGCTTGTAAAGAAATGCATAGTTTTCTTAAAACCTGAGTTAGACAACTTATCCAAGCGCCTACGGTAATAATTGGCAAAAATATAATAATGCAGTTTCATAAGTAACTTCTGGCACTGGGCCAAGTCGGTAATGGTCAGTACACCTGGTTGTGACACCTGTCATGTGATATTAACTAACTAACGTACCGGCGAATGATTCATCGACTGAACTTAATCAGATTAACTCAACGGTCAGTATACTCTGTGGTACCAATGAAGGGTTAACGCTAAATACTCAACACGTTTAGGCGGATTATATGTTAATTGTCGATACAATTTATTAACAAAAACATAGTATTTATAGCTATTGCTCCCGCGACATTCCCGTAGACAAAAGCGTTGTGTAAACGATGATATAACATATAGAACGCGGGCGATATTATTTATACTCTGTCGAGAGAGTGTATGAAAATACGTTCAATAGAATACAACATTGGCTAAAAACATTATAGTTAAAAGCAAAAGTTTGTTTAAACATAAAATTTAGCATGTGTTTTGAAATTATAACATGTTACGTAACAAAATGGCGGCCCCTACAGTATTACTGAGTACTGACACATTCCTTTCCTAAGTTTTTAAATCACTTTAATGCATCTCAATGCCTATGTGTGTATAAAGTATATTAGAAAGTTTTAGTAGTAAATAAATATATCTTGTTCAATAGAAAACTCAAGTGGAAAACAAATCTTGTATTCTCGGTTTTTCTCTTTGTAATAAATACCACTTAAAGCTTTGTGGGGGACAAGTCACTTTGATTCCACACATCAAAGAAGGCTATTGTTTAAACTGTTATTAATGGACACATATACAACGTTAACTGCGAATGAACCATTACGTAACGTTTCCAACAAAAATTTACCCTTTTCGCATTGATAATACCAGTAGAAGTATATTGTCTGCTTGTATCCTACTCCGTGTAAATAAAAGTTGTTTGTCAAACAAACAAAATCAGGACAATGACACATTTGCCACAAAGGCATTTCCCTCTATATTACATTTTACGTAGACAGATTGCGGCGTAATTTTCATACTAAATTGTTTGTCGAAGATGTCTGCGATGCTTACGAGATTGTAGTCTTCTTTTTTTTCGTCCAACCAGTAGTTCCTGATATTAGCGCATTCTAACAAAATCCCCAGCTTTATAATGTTAATATGATATATTCTTAATACCCGTAACTAACTTCATCCTAAAAACCATAAATTTTGTTAATTATGTCTAATAAAGTAATTTTTTTTCGTGTCAACTTTAAACATATAAGATAGTCGTCGCTACAAGGGCAAGTCTTAAGTCGCTCGTTACGGAGATAGCTAGAGGCGTTTGCTGCTTTTTAATGTCAACATTTTTTAATTAAGATCACTTAGTGGCCATTGTGCAGAAAGACGAGCAAAGAAATGAAAAGTTTAAATATCACCGCTACATTTTAAAGAAACCGGTTACGTTATATCTTTTCTAAATTTGAATTAGCACAGAGATAAAAAATTATGCGCTGTAGATTGATTGAATTTAAAATATCTAATTTATTTATTTCAACGACATATATGGAATGAATAATGAGACGTGCTCTTTGCACATGCGTGTAAACAAACATTATACTAAATTTGGTCCCTGAGGCAGTCTTTTGGCAGGATTACATAGATGTAGTGCGAGAAAGGCTCCAGTACTGTCTTATCTTCTTATTATTTATTATTTCAGTATATGATAACTTGTCAGGTTACAGGAGTACAAGTTTAAGATTTTTCTTAACTTTTAAATTTAATATATTTTATCTATTCCTAAGATTACAAACATATAGGTAATAATAAATATAATACACATACACAATATAATACATACTAAAAATATGGATTACAAAGGAATCAATGCAAACTTTTCGGAATTTACATCGTTTCTGTTGCCATTCTACAAATTCACTGCAAAAGCGGAATTAGTTCAAACAAACAGTTGTTCTAAGGTTTATTGTTTAACTTTGGACCTAACCGATGAAATTGTTGTTCAAACTGACTTCAATTTGTAATATGCCAATCCTAATTGTAGGGACTTTATTTATTTATTTTAGTATTATTACTATAAACTTACGTATATACCCATGGTATGTACACAAGTACATTTAGTTATTAATAATAAAAAAAGGGATAAATATATTCTGTCATGCTGGCCTACAGCAGTGATCTATATTGTGGTCGGCACCATACCCAATGGAGAAACTTTGAAAACTTTATTTTTGTTAGTATCTATACTATAGTAATCTAATGTAAATTCTTTATTTTTTTATAAATAATACTGTTAAAATTGTGGTAAAATATTCGCGTATATAAGAGACATACTTCGACGTTAGAACAAAAACGTCGGCCCTATTATCGATTAGACGGTCCAAATGCCGCGACGCCATGTTGTGACAGCTTTTAACTATATTTAACGTTGAATAGCTAATATAGCTTTAATGATACCAAATATGTAATTATTAATCAATTTAGTTTTATTTCCGTACGAAACATTTTATGCCAAATGACGAGACAAAAAAATAAATATTAATAAAAAAACGTTTAATAGCTTTATCTTTAGTAGGTATATAGACGTTCTCCTAAAAAATCTACCCTGTATTTACCATATATTCTCTTACTATCTTGTCGCCTAGGTAAACAATGTCGATTATGAACGAAATGCAAACAAATTCTTCATTATACCGGTGCATCGAAGCAGTCATGCGATGTCTGGGCTTTTAATACCATCCATATTTACTTAAAGTTTTTTAAATGCATATTCTTCGCTAAATATTTTATAAAATGTGTATTTTTTACATTCATGATGACGAATGTTCAAGATTTTTAACATTCGTGATCTCTTGATTTTTCACCATTTGGGGCCCTATTCTCTTGGTCATATTTTACGCCGCGCTTTAAATGATAAGCATAATATACTTTTGGAAGTATGAAAGAGAATGAGGCCCCTAAACGCGGCACGGCACGGGCACGGGTCGGCGGATTCCACTAGGCGTGCGGCCCGCGCCTGCGGCCGCCGCTGCGCTGTTCACGCGCTGCCCTCACAGAGCGCTCACCCGTGCCCGTGCTTGCAGGATGCATGCGGTCGGCCTGCACTCTGCGCTTGCGATCCGCCGCGAGCGGAAGCGTCGAGCTGAGCAACAACGCGCTAAGGAAAGGCGCTACTCCCTCCAGTCTACGGAGTCCGGTGTGACATCTCCCCACTGCTCCACAGGCAGTCTTGAGCGACGTCGCCACAAGAAATCCGGGACCGCCGACAATGAAGTCGTCTCTTCTGTTGGCATGCTCCACCTTGGAGTCGTGTTCCTCGTCCTGGGAGTTTTCCTCGTCGCCTCTGGCTGGCTTCCAGATGATGTGACAGCCTGGAGCAACATCGGATCTGTAAGCTGGTTTAACGAACTCGTCTGTTCTGGACTTTTTGCTCTATTCATTGGAGTATTTTTAATTATACTTCACAAATATCTCACTAAGAGCGAAGAAGACGCATTAGAAGACTACGTTCAAAAACAATTGACTCGATCGAGGTCTGGACATAGACTGGAGAGGGACGCAGAGACGGGTGGAATGCGTACAAAAAATGCTAGACGTGCCCGAGCTACAGAAGTATTGCCAGAGCCTATTACAGAAACTTACACTGAGCCTCCACCCGATAGAGTGCACGGGTTTGTCAACGCCCTAGCGCTGAACGGAGATGCGATGCGAGAATTGCCATTGGAGCAAATTGTAGAAGAAGAAACATCAATGGCCTCTGAGAGTGAGAGAAGATTTGGGAAATTTAACAAGGACACGTATTCAACTCCATCTATGGCACCCAGCCTAAGCCCTGGATCCCCATCTGACACGAGAGAACTCCTATCAGACGGACGCTACATGATCATGTCGAAGATATGAATAACAAAACTTGACCGTTCGTTGATCCCATATATTCTACTTTTTTATGGAATCGTCTTTGATTTTATTGGAAACCATGTGATATCCCGTTAAAATGTTTCCTTTATATTTAATTCTTACTATGAATACTTTCACGCATTCTCCATAAAATAGAATGTTCGGTATCAACGAATTGTCAATTGGGGATCAATATGAAATGCGTTGAAAGCTATGAGTAATTTAAAACTCTTTATTATGAACTATAACAATATGTGTTGCTTATGTTAAACAATGCCTCATTGCTGCCAACAAGCTTGACAGCTTCTGAATTTAAGTGTGAGTGATATTTGTAATCTTTGTATGGACCAGTGTTAATATTTCCGCATTTCCCAAAAGTTTCTTGCAATTTTGATTTGATATTATCTCAAGCTTAACTAAAAGATTTACTGATCTCATAACTTCTAAATATTTGTAAGTAGTTAGTACATACATATTTTAATTTGCGTTAAGACTGATTCCCTTCAATTTCTTTCGAGATTATTTTACGCAAAACTTGTGCCAAAAATCTTCTTAAACATGTTTTGTTAATAGAATGAAGGTTTTACGTTTTAATAATTTCATCAACATTAAAATGAAAGATATAAGGAAAAATAAATCCTCGTAGCTCTTAGCGTAGCAAGAACTACGGCGAGCAATTATTACGAGTATCTACGTACACGCCCATTATCTGGCCATAATGGTAAGATAATACCCAACTATTATTTATAATTACTAACCTAACCTTTATTCTTGTAATATCTTGTCAAATGAACGTTTGAAGTACATTTAAAGCGCTGTCAAATCCTTCTTTTTTCAATGGAATTTTGTTTTTATTTAAGTCAATACTAGTTGCCAGCATTATGTAATTGTATCTTAGTTTTATAGTCTTCAACATGTTTATAAAAAAAAAACCATAAAGTATTTATCTAAAGATCATTCATTCTAGCATATTTTTATGTACAAATATAATATTAAAACAGTTAAAAGGCTGATATTCAAATGTTTAATTGGTATTTAGTCTTATGTTTCGCATTTTGTGATTTAATTTTAATCACCGTTTTGAAATGCTTTGCTCAAAATATTTTAATTTAATTATACATGATATCCGTTGATAACTATTTAAAATGTATACATGATATCCGTTGAAAATGTGTACATGGATATAATGTTAATTGGAATGCTGTACTCTGTTGTGCTGCCTTTGCCTACGGCAAGAACATTGTGAGCTAACTTTATCTATTATTATCATTGTTACAAGCGTATAATAGAATTGTAAGTTTTGACAACAATGACTGTTGATTTGAATTACTGTGTATGAATTACCTTCTTGCCCTGTTACATCATTTTAAAACGAATTTGCAAAGCATTCTAGATTGACAGGGATACGAAAAAATACTTTGTTTTTTTTAAGTCAAACAGAATTGTATTGCTAAATTTTAAAATTTTGGAATTTTGTATTATGTGTTCTGTAATACTTTAATGAACTTATTTAATTCAGCTCCTAAATTATTAATAATAATTTATCTTGCCTTTAATGTTGTGTGAATATTATTTAATGTGCTGTGACTTATTTCGGACGTTTACCGTATCTGCCGCTATACATATTATAAATGCCTTATACTAAATAAGATATTGTAAGTTAATCTGGATCTTATGGGCTAATTTTATAACTTTCTTGTTCTTAACACTAGGTGTACCGATAATTTATGGTATTTTACGCAAGTGTAGTATAAATCACGTATGTGTGTATGGCACTATTTTTACTATTTATAATCTAAGGTAAATGTTTGATGAATATTAAAAATTACAAACCGGATTTAACTTTAAGCAATACTTTAAAACTACTTTGGATTCTGTGATCTAATACTCACTGTAAAAATTATTTATGTTTCCTTCAAAAGTTAAAATTATTTTTAATATTAATCAAATATTTTATAGCCCTACTTAGTACCAGCTAGCTTGTATATAATCGTAGTTATAATCACGAAACTTTATACTGGTGATATACACACGAATTACAATATCATGTAGAAAATTGGGAATTCGGGTTTTTGTAGTTATAGGGAATTGCTTATAGCAATTATTTATATATTAAGTCAGTAAGGCGGTGTAACTATAAAATTATCAATACGAAAATTGTTGCTTTATATTCACCAAGACTTTAAAATTTAAAACGACGAACATGGCATTGCTCTCAACTAAACATTCATATAAAATCACTCACGCGCAATGGGATAAGAAACAAAAGATATTGAAAGTGCAAATAGTTTTGAATATATGTGTATAAAAAATTGTTATAAGAAATTCGTAAGTATGGCTAATATTGACAAAATTGTACAACTTGTCTAGTTAAATTATATGATTGTAACGCTTGCTAACTTATGGCTGATGTGATATGCAGTTTATAAACAAGCGATATAAAAATACAATTCTAAAAATTTTCAAATTTTACATCATTAACGCTTTGCGGTGAAATAAGTAGATTAAACTTGTAACTTCGCGTTTCGAATTCAAATATATGTAATGCACAAAACGATACTTTGAAGTGACACAATTTATCTTTAAATTACCATATTTTTGGGAAACATTAAAAATTGTGTCAGTGCAAAGTTGTAAAATTATGCACAAATAACGTGACTAGTCGCACATAAAGTTAATTATGAAATTTCTTGTGCCTATACTTTTATAATTAGGTATTTATAGGTATCGTTACTATTTTGTATACTTGCTAAGGTATGTAAATACGCCCTTAATATCACTTTAACTAAATTTTTTTCTTAATACGTCTTCGCTTTTTAATCCTATATATGTATAATTTGCAGTTATATTAGATTTTTAATAACAGTCAAGGCTAAAAAGCTATGTTAATTGTAAAAAAATCTCGAAGTTCAAGATAATTTACGATACATTATAGAGAGTTAATTTACAAATCTATTCCATTAATTTTATTAATACTACACACTTAAATAGTATTTACTTGATATAAATACAGATTGTCTACATCATTTACTTTAATCATTTATTTAATAATTCGACAGCTGTATAGCAATCGAAACGTCGAGTTAAGTAAATGATTTAATAAATTCGCATTTATATCCGTTAACCAAGTTATATTTAAATTTATAATTAAGAAATCTTTTCGTTATAATTAACTTTAATTTTATGTTGTGCAACGCTCAAAATGTGTTAGTTGTGAATTTTTACGAAGCTTCGATGTCGTGAAGATTTTTTATGAACGCTTTTGCGCCTATATTTATGCGTATAATGCGCACTTTACTATTTCTAGGACAATTTAAGGTTTTCCATATTTTATTCGCTTCCATCCGTCATTTTTCATTCTCAAACTTTCTCAGAAGATATCAGTGACCTTATATAGAATATTTATTTTAAAATGCATTTTTTCTTTCAATTGTCTACTTGCCGTGAATATTTTTAATAAATTAAATTGTTTTCATTAAATTAAACAAATCTAATTTTATAAAAATATTATTTGCAACAAGAATCATGACCAACATTAAAAAGATTTCATTTTAAACTCTCACAGCTGTAAAGACTTACTTTGTTATATACAGAAGTTTAAAATAATGTATTTTGTTTTTTTCGTAGTCATCCAAACTTACCATATAAATATTGCACTTAAAAGCTATATTGCATTTATTTTATAGAGTTAATTTATTCATACTTTTTATTCCTAGCTTCGTAAATATTATCCAAATTAAATTAATACTACTGTTGAAAAACTTATTGATTTTTTACTCTTCAAGTAACTTGAAAACTATAATTTTAAGTAGTTTTGTACCTTTGAAATGTATTCTTCAAATGTGTCAAGCACGAGAAGTTCATATTAGATGGCATCGTCGTGTAACAACTTTTCAAAAGACACATTACCGCTTTGGCTAACCATTACAAATAATTAGATACATAGTAGATGTTTTCATGTGCGCGGATATTCAACATTCTAGTAGAATCTCAAAAATATTTAGACATAAACGGTTTGTAAACGATACTAACTCATGCTTGACACACTGGTAAACATGTTTTATTAAAATTTTATAAGCGCTGAAACGTTAATCCTAATTAAATCAGCCGATTTCTGACATATTGAAATTTTAATGAATCAAATTTACTCTGAAACAGACCAATTTCTTGTAGATTTTTTTAAGATAAATTAATACTACTTTTATCTTAAATAGTAATTCGTATAAGTTTTTTAAAATAAATATTTTTATTACAATTTGGGAGGAAACAGCGCTAACCCTAGTTTATTAAAAGTAATTGGAAATAGCCTAAACTATATAAACAATAGCAAATATATCATTCATTTTCAAACAAAAACATAATTAAAAGTCCCCTGAACATTTTAATTTACGCCAGAGCAAAGTTTGTAAAGCTTACGGCATTTATTGTGCGATAAGCGAAAATGTACGCTCAAAATTTTCAAAGTACATTTCATTTTCTCGCTCAAATTCGTTACGTAATTTACAATTTAAATATTTTATGCTTAGTATTTCTTTATTGATTGTAATATTTTCGATACCACACACCGAGTTGTTAATCGAGCTTGATTAACAACAAATAAAGCATTTTATGGCTTAAGTGACGTTGCTTTCTCCCAAAAGTACAAAGTATTCACATCATTCCACAATTAGAATTTATTTCATTTTCACTCAATTTATTACACTTATTAATAAATTATTAAAGTACCAAGGTATTTTATTTCAAACGTGTTAAACTTTTAATTAAACAAATGAATAACGTGGGTAAGGGGTTTATTTAACAAAATGCATTATAACTTTTATGCATTCAGGGATACAAAAAACCTTTTTATTATTTAACTATGGTATAGAACCATGATTAGCGGTAATTTACTCATTTCGTTTCGGGTCGTTTCTAGAGCTTCACAAACGTTCTCTATTAATCTCAACGAATTTTCCCGAGTACGTTGACGACATTTCCTATCTATCTCCTTTTCCTTACGTTACCTCTAATAGATTAAATTTAGTGAGGCACGCTAAATTGAATACCTTGGAGATAGTAAATACTTTTCTACTGACGAAAATGATTGTTAAATAAAATGTAAAAATACGGTATTAGAACGAGATTTGTTTATAAAAGAGAATCTTTCTTCGAGAGAGAGAATTCTTTTTAATATACGCTAGAATGAATATTTAAAAATTATGAATATATCATATAGCAGATTGAGATAATACATCAATAATATATATGTAATGTGAGTTTCATTGTCTATAAACGTTGTCTTGGTCTGACAAAAAATTATCTCATTTCAGAGAGAATAAACATTATATAAAAAAATAAGTCTATTGTAGATATTTAAGCGCTACAAGTTTTTTGGGCCTGAGATTGTTGTATCTGTTTTGTGAACCTTTTTTCTAATAGACCTTCTGTGCCTTAAATACACCGTCAACTTTTTATACTCTAAGGCATGCCGCTATTTTTCTTCGCCGTATGAGCGAGTGTTTAATGCGCACATTGACAGAGAAAGACATGATGCACAGCCGGGCTTCGAAACTACGATCTCAGGGAGAGTTGCATGTTGAAGCCACTAGATCAACACAGCTCAGATATTTATCTTTATCTAATTAATGACAAAAGTCATCGATTAATTTGTTAGTACAGAGAATAAATAGTACAACGAATTAGATTGGCCGGATTGGATTTGGTCTGGACAGAAAGCAATATCACATTAAGCGAAATTAAAAGTGTATTTTGCTGTCGGTAGAGCGGCACATTGGGATTTATTTTAGTGAACAATGTCCGGAAGTAGATAAAAAATATATAGTCTATATTTCCGTTTCAATAAGTAAACACATAAAGTTGTATAACCATAAATATAATTTTACTAGGATCGCAGAAAAGCCAGGAATAGGCAATAATTTACCGCTTACATGTCGGATACTAAAAGCAATTTGACATGACGTAATATTCCCTTGCGGTACTTACTGGTCACAAGCAACTCAAGTGAATAAATTTTCCACACATTATTGTTATTTGTATGAAAGTTTATTTATAAAGGACTATTTTGTAAATTGTATTATAAACCTCACATAGCATTTGTATGTTTTAATTTTATTTCGAGAGTTGCGTTGTTACTTCTATAAACGTATTGCATTATTGCTAATTTACTAACTATATTAATTATATTCAAGTTAAAGAAACGATAATTAATATAACATTTATAAGACTAGAATATTTCATTATATTTCCTAAGGCTAAGTTATAACTCAATATACATATCACCGTAACTTAAACAATAAAAATAATTTTCCAGTTCCTGTAATGTATTCAAAGAATTAAAAATAATAATAAGGCACCCTAAAATATTAAATTCATTGAAAGCGAATCGGTGGCCTACTTCTAAGAATCTGAATTGATGGACACTCAAACCGGGAGAAGAAATACTAAGAAACCAAATTAATTGACAGCTAAGACTTAGTTGTTATTACTATGTTAGAAGGATTCCAGATATTTGAGATTGAAATTGCTCATATTGTCTATCTATTAACAATAAATATGTATACATTTTTAAAGCAAGCTACAGTAAGTTATCCGTTGTAGTGAAAGCTTTTCGTTCAACTAATGGATATCGCCATTTATACTTTAGTAACTAAGTTTAGAAGTCTGACCTTTAACGAAATACGACTCATTTTAATGTACGTAACCTATATTTTAAACTTTTAGGTTACTGTTTAACGTTGTTAGAATAATTTACAAATATATTCACTACAAAGCCAGTGGTACACTCATCAGTACTATAATAATCAAAAGTCAAAATCATTTATTCATATAGGTAACACAATGTACACTTATGAACGTAGAAAAATAAATATGTACATATTAAAACCTTTACTGCCAGTTCTCAATTTAAGGGCGTAGAACGGAAAAGGAGAACTGGCAATGCTTCTAATTTTACCTTTACTGCCAGTTCTCTAATCAAGGGCGTAGAACGGAAGAGGAGAACTGGCAATAAACTCTCCGCCACTCTTTTTAAATTCCTTTTTTATATCCTGGTACTATAGGATATGTTTTTACTTAACCTTCTAATTTTTTTTAAATTTTATAAAGCCATAATAAACTTTTAGTTATTATTCTGAATTCGAACCCACTTGCATTAAAACATTCGTGGTAATTAAAGTAGGCTATGATAAATTGTAATACGTATATAAATTCATACTAGAAGGGTTTCGAGTAGTTTTCTTTTTTAAAAACGTGAAGATTAATTTACATATTTAAAATGTTATGATTAAATTTGCTCTAGCTTTTTGAACGTGAAAAAACCTAGAATTTTATCAGCTATCAAAAGCACTCACTTTGATAAAATACACAAACATTTTTCCCACATTTTCTCGGCATCCTGCGCTAATTGAACTGAACATCATGTTACGAACTCTAAATTACTTGCACTGACATTTTTCAAACAAGCTCAACATCTCGGCTTTGCATGAGTTTTTATATGAAAGTGTGTGTTAAGACTAAAACAACTCTAGTGATTGCAGTGGAATGGTATCTTACCACCAGTGAAAGGTGTCGAAAAATATTGGCAATTTATTTATTTAAGCTCACCACATCATATATAATGCTATATCTGCAGTATATGTTAAAAGCTATCTTTTCTAAAATATATGACATTTTTGGTAAACATAAATGTTACAAAAATTAAAAAAAAAAAAAAAACGCCTGTGTACTTATGTACACGCGTTAGAAGTTATACTTCTTCGGTATAAAAATATAAAAATCTTTACAAAATTTTATTCTACGTTTGTAGAAAAAACAAAAATGTTCACTATCTAGCTAACTTCAGGGTGTCGGTTTTTTGTAACGGTGAGCGCGGGCATCGTAAAAATTTACTCTCATCATTTTTCCCTAACGCGCCAAAAGAAGTAGGTATAACTTCAAAAATACAATAAAAATTACTAGCAAAACAGGATCACTTTCAATGAATTGAACATGGATTAGCCTAATCGGATAGGCACTTAATAATGCTTTTTTTTAAATTGATCAGCTCACTACCAAATATGTCAAGCTCTGGATAAATAGTACTTATTCCGTTATATTCGGGAATCCGAAAAAGGGGTGCCTCAACTCCTAGGTTGGTTTGAAAGAATTTGAAAGAATGTTCTTCATTCTGCTTCTTAGTCGTAACAATCGCCATGTTCAGGCATTTAAGATTCATTCTTGGTATGATGCTTGTATACGGCGACATTTATATAATACAGTCAACCGTTTAGAACAACATACCGGTTATATTGACCAAAATCAAAGGTCCCGAATTCTATTGTACTAGGTTCTTAATAACAACTTCATCTGTTGTTACAACTATCGGGTTTTACGACCAAATATGAGTAGTTTCTTCGATGTCGTTATAAAAGATTTTGACTGTAATGCATTAATGACCAGTATTGGTACAAAATACCTAGGTTTTTATAAAGTGTTGATTGAGTTTTTATTTTTATTTCAGATATGCTCCAGTCTCTTTTACAACCCAGTAATCAACGCACGAAGTGTAAGTCAAGTATTACTTGAATAATTTATTAAACTAAACCTAGCCAATGCTAATAATTAACAACAATTTGATTTGCTTTTTTGCTCTATATTAGATTGAACTAAATCCCTTCCGCACAATCTGGTATTCAGATACTGTGAACGCATTTATTACGCAAGTATTACAACATACGATTAATTAAAATATATATTATATTGACTTACCGTTTCCATAGAAATACTGATATTAGATATCGGAATGGATATGGATTCTAGGTACAGCAAAAAAAAATGATCGGGGCTATGCCAGCAGTAGCCGTTCGGCATGAGCGGCGCCGGGGGGAGAAGCGAGGCGGGGGGCGGCGCCCCTCGCAGCTTCCTCTGCAGCTGGGCAGGATGGCAGACCCATCCAGCCCTGCGTCGGACACCTTCAGCCACAAGTTGTACTTCTGTAGGAAGGTGAGTAATATTTCGTCAATGATCAGATCATTCATTAATACAAAAAGTATTTTGTTTACCTACTCAGAAATCCAGCGCTCTGGACTAAAGCAACACTATATGCGTACATTGACAATTATGTCCAACGGTAACTATGATAAAACTAACATACTACTACTATGAAAAAGAAATCATAAGAGAGTGGCTTAAATCTTAAAAACATTGAAAGCTATAATGAGAAAACGTCATTACGGATAGCTAGATGAGTAGTAGGAAAATGTTAATTTGTAAAAATATTTAAAATTTTCAGACCGTTTTCCTTCACGCAGTAGTGGGATCTCTTCTTCTGGGCATAGTGATCTTGGTGGTAGGACTAGTCCAGTTGTCGCCCGGGGCAGAGGCTGCACAGCATCGGTATTTCCTTATGGGATCGGGTGGCTTACTTTTTGGTGCTGGATTGTTGGGAGCCATATTAAGGTGAACATTTCAGTATGCTTTTTGAGAGAACTATTGCACATCAGAGAATTCATAACATTATATTTAAGCTTTTTGTCGTTGTTAAGTTAAATCTGGGTTACAAACGTGGATCTCGACTATTAGACCCGGATTCTGTTTCATTGTATTTTAGTAACAAGTTTTTATAGAACGCAATAAGGCCCTATCCCAGCACGAATTGCTGTGTCAGTGTCTCGGGGTGGACTGCGGTGCGCAGTGGAGAGCTGGATTGCGGCGCACCGGCCCTTAATAACAATTAGTTATGTAAAACATTAATTTAATGTAATTTTATTATTTTTTTTCTGAAATGGATTACTTGGCTTGCTATAAAATATATCGTGTAAATTTCAAAATCATGTTATATATACATTTTCGTCATAAAATGAATTCAAAGTGTAAAAAAATGGCTATGTTCGGATTTTTTTCTATCGAGAGAACATATTTAAGTCGTGTATCGATATTTCTAAATGGATACATAAACTACTCAACTCTACCATATATTTTTTCCGTTCGCCCTACTTCAAGAAACGATGACAAAAATGGAAAGAAACAATATACTTTTTTGGAGTTAGGCGACCAGATAGGTCCTTAATATGAGATATCTATGGATTTTGTATATAATTTACAGACTTCTGCTTAGAAGCAGTGTTGACTGAACTTTCGTTGTGCGCATTTTAACAGTTTCCCGCTCGGTAAAGGAAAACATCGTGAGGTAACCGGCAGTCCTTAGACCCAACGTCGGCGTGTGTCAGAAGAGAATGCTGATCACCTACTTGCCTATTAGAAAATCATATGATCACGAAACAGATACAGAAATCTGAGATCAGGCCTAAAAGGCTGTAGCTCCACTAATTTTTTAGTAGTCATATAAATCGTGCATATTATTTTCACATATATTGCATTTTCAGCAAATGTATGTATGTCTGTTTATCCAATAAAACTGGGTCTATATATTTTTATTGCTTGATCGTAATTCGTAACTAAGCTATCATACACTCACTTTAATTAAAAAAGTACTAGCTATTACACTAATGAAAAGGGGACTTTTGTGAAATAAAATTGTTTACGACACGAAGTATTTTACGATATGGGATATGAATATTAACCCAATTATATTTTTAGTGAAGTTAAAAAGTGTAAATAAATAAACGATTCTTTGATTTCGATTTGATTAACTCTATAAAATCATTGCGTGCTAATTGAGACCCGGTTTAGTATTTTCTTGTACGTACCAATTATTGAAAGTCCGGCAACGCACTTGCGAGCCTTCTGGCAATGTGAGTCACTTAAAATAAGGGAGCCTCCTGACCGTTTGCCTGCTATTACATAAAAATATATTATGTTAAGAAATAATCTATATATAAGAAATAACAGGTACATACTAATAACAGTACAAACAAATAGGTCCACCGCGATAGAAATCTTATCTATTCTACTTATCGCTCGTGTGAGTGTCGCCTTGCTAACCAAGGAGTGTGCGCGCTACATCCAAAAATTTTCACTTCCGCCTCAGATTCTTGCTTGGAACCAGTCGGTTACCGGTCTCCATTAATTATGTTTAATAATCTGTAGTTCTCAAATATGGACGCAGCATATTACTAATGTCTTTTTAACAGAATCAAAAAACCCAAACCCAGCAAAGGCACATTAGAATAGCGTTATAGGCCCATTAACGACTCTTATAACTCAGTACTTCTTATAGTTAGATATTAATCAAGATCAATGGCTTCCAGGTGCGTCTGCACACACTGTCACAACCAGAGATACGAAGCTGAGTACCATTCGCCGCGTCGCATTGAAATTGGGGATAACAGAACGTATCATGAGAAGCACGGGGGAGTTTGCGTGGTTGAGACTCCGCAATGCCGACCCAAATTGAAGACCCAAGCGAGTGTGGGGCAAGTGGATCTTATCAAGCAACCCTCAGCCGGCAGCGACACTTAAACTGACCATCTTTCTTGTAAGATTGTAAGTTGCCAATGTCGATAAGGTTAATTGGAGGTGATATTTACGAGAATTTCGAGTCATTTTAATCTCTTTGAATGAATAAAGTATAAACTATATCTTCGAGATGTACCCTCTTTTTGAAAAACTTTATTAGTCCAATTACACAGTTATAGCAACACTTTCTCTTTTCATAACAGCGTAAGCACATTTTGACAGAAAGAATCTTAAGGAAAACAGTGTAGACTGATTTAGTTTAGAAAAAGAGGGTAGTATGAAATTTTATTAATTTCTACACTGTATGTTTTTAATTGTATTGCACAGAAACTCATTAGTTTTAACTGACTGTACAGACAAATGTGTTATTAATGTTATCGACCTTGGTAATTCACATTATAATAGATTACCAATTATTCTCTATGTGTAGTAGATATATGTTAAATAAAAAATATAGTAAGTAATAGTAATCTTACCCTACGGTAATTTTAGTTTGTATTTTGATATGCCTTTTGGAACTCTATTTCTAGTCCTTTATTCTTTTTGAGATTTTTTCATAAAAGTTTTAAAACGAATTTTTAGTCTATGTGGGTTCTAAAGAGATGTATTTTGTAGGTGTTATTTTATAAAATCCTTTCAAATTTGATAACTTTTTGTCTATTATATTTTCTAACATATCAAAATATAGAATATCTGACATATTAACGTCTGACAGTTTTTGGCGCTTAGGAGAGATGTGACGTTTTAGATTAATGACAGGTAAAACTAAGAGCGCGGCCACACGATGCGTTAACGGTGCGGTGCGGCGCCGGAGCGGTGCCGCAACGTGGATGACATACAAATATACCATGTTACTCGATACGTTGCGAGCGTCGTCGCACAGCAAGCGCGCCGGAGTTGTGACCTGCGAGACGAGGCGGGGAGGGGTAAAATATATTGCCACACCGCAACGCCCGTGTGGCAACCTATAGCTCGAAGTAATTGCGGTGCGGCGCCGTATCGCACCGCAAAACATCGCAGTAAAAAATCACAGATACAAAATGACTGAAATGTCACATCCGTCCACGGATGGGTTGGTTAATGAGCTTAATTACGTTATTGGAGAAAGTATATTGAATTTAAATTTTATTCAAAACCATATAAAGTATTCTCACAGTCCATATGCAGCAAAAAGTATTTATACAAATATCTATGGTTTATATTTTCTCTATAAATAATATATTTACATAAGTTTTACATCACATGTTTGCAGCCATGTTTTGAATTATAAGGAATAGATACAGAGTTATATAAAATATGTTAATTATTTACATATTAATAAATAAATAAAAATCTAATTACATATATCAAATAACCCAACAGATGAATCATAATGTACCCCTTATTTTGTTAATTGGAAGTCCTAGCATTTTAATCATAAGAGACTGAGAAGAGTGTTCTAAAATAACTTTCTTATACTCATTTAAAAATCTTGAAATTTTTTTTTCACTTGTAGCACGACCCACTTTAATTTCGCCCACACCGTAAGTTAAGTATTTATAAGATATATCAAATTCTCTTTATATATGGGTCCAATAATTGATCCATACTTTATCAATGTACCATATTATTCGAGGTTACTATAACCTTATTTCATTACTATTAAAGGAACGCTGTAAATCATCATCAAGATTATTAATTGGACTGTGGAGATTAATTTATTTACAAACAGTTTAAATTCAAATGCAAATTATTTAAAATCGTTTTGCACTACACTAAGGCATGGAAAGCCTTCCTGTTGTGACACATATTACCTTTAAATGAATTACGCATATAATCATTATTTAAAACAAATAATTAATGAATAGAATGTAGTATGCGATGCGAACGAGTCGATTTTTATAGCTTCACAGTCCAAATAATAAGGTTACGTAGGTAAATGAATGAAGACATATATTAACTTGTTGTTGTAATTGGTGTATAGATTTAAGACTAAGATATGGGTGTTAGTTAAAATACTCTCTAAACCATTACGCTTTAACCAACGCTTTTACATACAATTGCCAAAGCTTAGAATATACATTATTATTTTGACCTATGCCATACGTACGTACATAAGCAGTAATTTCACAAGGAACTCTTCTCCTAAGTATTCACCATATTAACTTCAGGAAACTTTAGATGGCGTGACTCTGCCGTTTTAACAGGCCTCGTAAAAAAAACTCAAAATGTATATTCTAATTATTTCTAGAACTTATAGCGGTTAACAAATTAAATTCCATAGATATTATTACGATTGCTTATATTATAACTAGAGCTTTTAAGATTTTATTGCCGTGCCAAATTTTCCTTCGTGGAGTTTAGTCGAATTTCATTGTTATAAGTAATTTAAGCGTTGGATATCACATTGATGCTTGTTGTAATTTTGTGGCCAAATAGTTATTGTTATGTCAAGTTTTCAACAAAAAATAATTTAGTATTTTGTCATTATCTGTTTATAATATATTATACATGAAAAAAGAAACGAAGCGATACATCCAATTGGGCTGATGAGCAATCGCTACGTCTTTTGTTTATTATTCTCACCTAATGTCATGCGTAAATAAACGCAGATTTTTTATTAATTTGACAAGCTGATTTCATAAATAATTAAATCTTAGTTTTGTACAAAGCGCAAATAAAGTATTATTTATTATCGCATCTTCATATTTATTGTAAATATTAACAAATTGTATATTCGACTTAAATGTGTTTGAATTCTTTATTAAAAGCATTGCGTATACATCTAAAAATCTTCGCAAGTAACATGCTTTCTTAGTGCGGTCATCATTTTTCTTCATATTGCGTATTCGAATAACGATTTAAAATGTCAACAAATATATAAAAATATAAATGGAAATAAACCCATGACCCACACCGTAATTTCGATGTTAATTAGGTATCTTTTGACAATTGTCAGTAAGTCGTCATACATTCCGTGTGTATTGAATAGCCAAAAATAACTTAGATAAGTGTCTCAATGTAAACTAAATTATAGTATATTATTTAACTGAATGAATTAAAAGAAAGCTACAATAACGGCAAACACCTGTTTCTTAGTTTAATTTATTTATTATTCATTTTAATTATACTCGATAATATAAATAATGATCTGAAAATATTATTTTTATGAATTAAATCAACAGAAGTGTTGCGGGCTACTTTACGGTATTATTTTTAAACATAATTAGCGAAATTAGGCTCTCAGTATTATTTTATATACGCTTTTTATTAGCTAATTAAAAGCGTTTGTCCATTATAACTTTCTTTTATTCAAATGTATTATATTATATTAATCGATGTTATTTCTAAGTAATAATGTAATCGTAAATGTTGTACACGTATTATGTTAATAAATCAAAAGCTTTGTCTCACTTTCGTATATTTAAAAAAACATCTTGCGCTATAGTATGAAATTATTATAGATATATATATATATATTTTTATAGATCCATATTATGTTGAATATGTATTACGATTAATTGTGTAAAGACATTTAGTGGCTACAATTTTATTAACATAATATTACTATCACTATATTATATGCTATGCTACTTCTCATTCACTGTGATAAAATGAAGTTACCTTACATTTAAAATATATTAAATTGTTTTTATGAGCTTGATAAAACGCTAAAAATGAATAATCTTTCAAAGAAAATAATCCAATACAAATTTTATCACAGTGAACTTTCTCGAAATGTTTATAAATAATTTCATTTACTTTAATTTAATTCAAAATTACAATTTTATTTATAAACAAGAACTCTCAATTCATCAGCAGAGAGACATTTAATTTTAATATATGGAAAGTATTTTATATTTGTATATTTAAATATTTTAGTTTAAGTTACGACTGTACTGTTTTATATCTCATATATTTTATACTGATGTCTCTAAATAAATGTGGACGAATAAAGTGACTCTTATTTTCTTTAAAATTTAATAAACTTTGTTATAACAAATCGCGACATAGCTATGCTATAAATGCATTTGCGCATCCCCTGCCCTCAAAAGTTGAGGGGTATGTGAGACTCGACCGACACCAAAATCTCTGCTATACAGAGACTGGGTGAGCAATACCCACTAAAACAACCTCGAGTAGTCCCTACAAAGCCGCGTTACAGAGGCTCCTGGTTCGCTGTCGCATTCTACCGGGACCTCAACGACATGTTACACTCAAAAACCTTCGGTGCAGTATACACTATATAGGAGGTAGGAGATGGGCATATCTTCTCCTATTTACTCCCCGTCTTCTACCCCTAGGATTCGTCCTAAACGACGTAGCTATCGGCTATCCTACAAATTAAGATTTAGGAAAAAAAATCACAGTATCCAATGGACAAAATCTAATTTGAGATATATATTTTTTACATACAGTTTACTAATGAAATAGTAATTTATTCAAAAATATTATTAATTTTCAGAAAGTTAATTCAAACGTTATAATCAAAGACAATTAAAGTACCAACAATGTTCTTTTTAAAATTGAAATACCAAAAATTCGGTAGAGTGGGATGGCGACACACACACAGAGTACAGACACAATCGTTGCTAAGTTTTACTAAAATTTATTTCACACGTTTTCATAAACATTCGAGTGTAAATAGTATTTTGTAAAGTTCATATTTCAGATACAAATCATGAAATCTTTAATAGGTATCGGTAGATAGCTTTACAACAAATCAGCGTTTGTAGTCTTTTGCCATAATCAATATCAGACACTACTTGCAGACGAAAGTCAAAAAACATTTATTCATGTAGGTAACACAATGGACACTTATGAACGTCAAAATAAATATACATTAAATGCTTCTAATTGAACATTTACTGCTAGTTCTTAAATCAAGGGCGTAGAACGGAAGAGAAGAACTGGCAATAAACTCTCCGCCACTCTTTTTAATCGCCAAGTTTTTCATAATAAAACATAGACTTTGTAAATACGTCTACGATTGCTCATTAGTAATTTTAATGGGACAAGAACAT